AGTTAGTGTTACTTCACAACAACTGTCCCCTCGAGGTTCTTTATAGTGCAGGCTATACACCTTAAACAAGAAGAGAAGAAAAATGTAACTTCCATATTTTACAGCACTGCTTCTTTTTTTCACCCAAGTCGCAATATTATCGGTGACCTTTAGCCTGAGGTTCTGTGCTACCAGGCATATTTCTGAGCAAACTTCAAGCTCAAACCCCTGCTAAGCACAGAAGTGTAATAACACAGCAGACTCTGGTTTAGACTTTGCTGTTGCTCCAGTTTCTGCGTGGGCTCCAGCTCTATCATCATTACCCACCTGAGCACCGAGGTCTCCCAGGAGTGGAGTGCCGAGGTGGAACCTCTTCCACGATCCCTGTCAAAGACTCCAACAAGTCAGAGTGCTCTGAGCAGCTGTTCAGAGCCCTGCTCTCTCTAACTCACAGATGTTATTTTATATGTTGTAATAATGTTGGTGGTGGCTGCAGCTCAGGAGGTAGATCATCTACTAATTGGAAGGTTGGTGGTTCAATCCCTGGCTGCTCCAGTCTGCATGCCAAATCTCCTTGAGCAAGAGCTCAGTGTGTGAGCGTTAGATAGAAAACAATGATAACGATTGTAGTGCATCAATGTATGTTCCCTAACCTTGGATGCATGAATCAGTCTGGAAGAAACTTTATGACGCGCAAATACTTACAGGTTACATATATTTAAAAAGAACAAAAACAAAGAAAAACTGCAGTGTTGTGTGTACATTATGTGTACGTTTTTGTTTTTTGTAAATACATTTTCAGTTATCAGTGCAGTGACACTCGGGGATCACAGGAATGTCATGATGTCATGTGTGAATAAGTGCTGATCAAACAGTGACAGTCACTGACTATTTTGTCATACAATGAATACGTGTTTTGTTATTCATCTCTTTGCTGTTTATGAGCAGCCGTTTTCCTTTCTCACTATATACAGTTATGTAATGAAGATAAAAATATTTCTGATAAATTGAGAACGCACTGATTCAGCGTGTTAGAGAGGGTGATGTGTGTCCTGTTTGTGGTCCATAACAGCCAACACAGAGCCAGCCTTCCTCATCATTTATTATCCTGATCACTTGTTGGTTTCACCAGCTCTGATGCTGCTGCCCCTGCACACCACAGCAGAGGACACTGTGCTCACCACAACCCACTGACAGGAAATCGCCAACACTATGCTGCACGTGTAGAAGGATGTTAGGAAACGGAGGCTGCTCATCCCTTTCTTGTATCCAGCCTCTGTGTTGGTTTTCCACTTGAGCCTCTCGGGATGTACACGGGGAGTGGATAGCTGTCCTCGATCACCATCTCCCTGGCCTTATTCAGGTTTAGAGGCACATGATTTTTCCCAGATCATTAAAGCAATACTGATCTGCCCTCCATCTCCCACCCATCACTTATACAGTTAGCTGTATAGGCCTCTGAGTGAAGTTTCAGTTCACACTGCAGTTTGGTCACAGTCCTGCTCCAGCCTCACACACCTCACTGCTGTTATCTTCTCTGCCTGCAGGTGTCGACACTGCCCCTCACATCAGTTTACAGTCGCACTGTTTCACTCAGGGTTGTAGAGAGTTAGTCCAAATAATCTAAGCCCAGTTTATTTCGATTGTTATTAAATAAATTATTGTTTGCGTTGCTGGTCATAATAAGAGTGATGACAGCAGTTATATATCTAAGATGATGCTATGTAATCGTTGAACAGCTGAATGACAATGACACCAGCCAGCAGGCTCCACACAACATTATGGTGGTGGTGTTAATGATGGTGAAGTTCCCATAATAATAAGAGCACCAGCAATGTCTGTGTATATATGGAACCACATTAAAAGCAGCAGAACACAGTAGTGGCAAATATCATCACACAGATGAATATTTTTCTCTAATCATAAACTGATGGGCAACTTTTTAATGTTTTCTTGAATATGAAGTTAATAGTTTTGTTGCCTTCATGTTTTATTTCTGTTCTTTTCTTCCAGGAGGAGAAACTCTGAGAGTGGCCGAGGCCGAAGCGCCACACAGGACCAAGCTTTCTGAAGACGAAGCAGCGTGTCACACACTCTGAATCATTGTGAGTGGTGTGGTTAAAAAACCCCACAGTGCACCACTCAGGTCTGAACACAGACAATTACAGTGCTTCCTGATGACATACAAACACAGAGACTGTGTGTGTGCGTGTGTTTCTTTAGTGTCTTATGAGTCAAACCATTCCAGTAAGAAATCAAACTAAGAGCTGCCATGTTTACTTAAGTCATTTTCCTCAGAAGTCCAGCAAAATGAAATGAAAGCAAAGAATATGTTCACTGCAGTATTGAATAGTCAATGATGTGATGGAGGTTTCTGGCTTTTGCAGTGCTAGGTTTTATTTGTTCATGTTTTTTTTCTTCGTAAGAGATTTTCCAGTTCATACAGAAACAGGTGCAGCGCAGGCCGAGTTTAGCCTGAATTATCCGGTAGTAAAGAATCATTTGCTAAAATGAAGTTGAATTACTCATGCTACTTTCTAAAAGTCCTCGTTGATGTCACAGCATTAGTAGCTCTCCACACACGATCTATTTATTCACCTCTGCAGCAGTGCAGCTCGTCACCAGAGGATGTGGACATGACCGCACAGCAAGCAGCCTGTGTGGCAGACTGTACAGAACTGTGACGTCAAAGTGATTTACTCAGCACCAAGAAAATAAGCATCAAAGATCTACTTTTTGGGCTTGGATTCAGCTCTAATGGACACCTGGTTGATTAACATTTCAGAGTGCATTTGCAGTCCTCTGTATTTCCTGTGACATGATTACATTATGAATGGATGTGTGCAGCTGAGGAGGTTTTCAGTGATTTGAAATCTGAGAAGCACAGCGGCCTTGTTGAGTATGTTCTGCAGACACGCTCACTGCCATTCAAACACTGCTCTGTATTTTCTCTGTAGCACCTAAAGACTTTTAATCTTCAACAGTGAGTTCATGTGCGTGAGTGTGTGAATGAGTGATCAGTGTACAGTGTTTCCCCGTGCTCAAACTAACACAACAAATGAATGAACACGGTTTGTGGCGCACACAGTTGCACCGCCGTTGCTATGTTGTACTGGCTCTGTCAGTGTACAGTGTTTACTAATGTCGGGAGCGTCTTTGCACTCGTTCTCTCTACAACTGTTCATGAAGACCTTGGATTGATGGACCCTCCTGAGCTGCATTTGCTTGTTTTCCCAAGTTGGAATTAAACTCTCTCAGAAGAAAGACTCTGAAGCATGCACCAGTGAATCTGGGAAATCTGAGGATGAACATGTTTCTTAAAGTGAGGTTTTCCAGATGATTTTGAAAAAGTTTTTTAAGTGTGGTGCTGTCATGTTTTTACTGGTGATAATAAACACTGACTCTCTTTTTAAACTGCACTGAGCTTTTCAACGTGCAGACGAGGATGACTGGTTTGTCTCTGTCGTTTTTAACACGTCAGGTGTCAGAAAGGGTGAATCTTTCCATCCCAGTATACACTGCATCATTGACTAATGTGCACAGTAAAGCACTTACTAGTGAACTCAGTTACAGGTAGATTGATTGATTGTCTTTTCTGCTGGTACGGAGCAGGGCCACTGATTCTGGTTGATTAAAAACCTCTCACCTGCACAGAGTACCGCAAAGACGACCATGAAGTCACAGGACAGCCCGTGCTTCAGCATGCACTCCGACTAAATGACTAAATAAACCACAGCAATGTTTTCAAGTTCACATTTAGCTAGTTTTACAGTTAAAGGCACACGAGCCAAGGATCAAATGACGTCTGAGTGCGCGTGATGTGTACACTTGTGCCAATACTATTTAGCCTTGTAGTCAAAAAATCACTCTTCCAGTGTCCTCAACAAAAATGAAAAAGTCGACTTGGGTCAGTACAGTCATTTTTCTGCCCTCCTCCCAAATGTACTTTCTATCGATGGAGTGAGAAAAGTGCCTCCCATGGTCATTTAATTGCCTGTTTTCATCACTCGGTCATCTTCTATGTGATCTAGAAGAAGTGCACCAATAATTATTGCAAGGATATCATTTGCTTTCGGTACGCACAGTTCAGCTGAGGTGTTTAAAAGGTTTGTGTCTTTGTAGCAAAGTGAAAATGCTGAATGTCCTCCAAATGTGATTCCATCATTTTTGCCAGGACTGGTATTGCTGCTTAAAGGAAAAACATAACAAAGTGTTGGTTTAATCAAACCAGCTGCTAACGCCTGTTAGCCACTGGAAAGTGTCTGTATCTGTATCTCTCAGATTAAATCAATAAATTAGTTCATTTTAATTAGGAACTAGTTTCAAATGTAGCAGCAGACTCATCACACCAGACAACATTTTTCCATGGACTGAGCTTCAGAGCAGACAGCAGAACTACAACTAAACTATAAGGAGGTCCACTGCCTATTCACTGTCAGATACTTTGAGAGGAGTACTACATGCATCACTGAAATATGGCTGCACTCATACTTGCAGATAGTACTTGGCTTATAACTTTTTGGCAGATAGAGACGTTGGTCTGAGTGCTCCAGAGAAAGGTGGAATTTCACTCTTTGTGATTGAAAAGAGGCTCAATCCTGAGCCCGGATGTTGAACTGCTGATTGTTCAAGGTTCTTTATTTGTCACATGCATAGTTATACAAGTATAACACACAGGGAAATGTAACCTGACACGCTCCTCGACATGTGCAATAATGTGTGTGTGTGTGTGTGTTGGGGGGGGATAGAGGAAGAACATTATATATATATAGTATATACATTGGGTGAATGTGCAGTAGTAGCAGCAAGCAGGTGAATTCTGTACATTAATATGAATAGACATCTGACTATTTTACAGAATAGATAATATAAAGATATTTAAAATTAAAGGAATTTGAAAGGTACATTGTGCCTGGGTTTAGAGTGTCTGGAAGAGAGTCCTGTCTCAGTCAATTATAGATGATGTGAGAGGGCGGGTGTGTGTGTTTAGGGCTCGGATGGCTTGGGGATAGAAGCTCCTCTTGAGACTCTCTGTCCTTGCCCGGTTGATGCGGAACCTTCTACCAGATTGCATAAGTTGGAACAGTTTGTTGCCAGGATGGGACGGGTCCTTCAGTATCTGCGCTGCTCTAGTCCGGCATCTCCTGGTGTAGGTGTCCTGAAGCGGGGGGAGAGCAATCCTGCAGCAGCAGGGGATGCATCCAGAACTCTTTGGGTATTATTACCACTGAACCATCAGCTGAGCATGTTACTTCACTCACTCTGCTGTAGCATGCTTGCTAAGCCAGTATTCTAGTGCTTTAATTGTTATTACTGGACAGAAAGTTAACAGTATATCAACCAATGATGATAAGACATACTTTATTTTCCATAATGGAAATTCCTTTGTTACAGTAATTGAAATTAAAAGTTATTAAAGTAATAGTAATGCTGTATACAGATGCCACTAATGCATTGACTCCACAGCCCAACAACAGATGAGTATTGACCAGGTTGAGACAGAATGAACGAGGGTAAGGCTGCAGACCTTGATCAAACCCCACGGTTCTCTGGGCTAGTGCCAGCCAGCGGTCTGTGACCCTGAATCTGAAGCAGGAGAAGTTACCAGCGTTGTGGGAAACGTCTTGTCTGGCTCTTGTACAGACGAGCCCTTCAACTTTTACCTCACTTGTGATGAAGTTGCTGGAGAAACTAGCTGAAGTTTTAATAGAAACCTCTCTCAGCCCTCTGCAGTTCATATATCCCCTAAATTTAGGAGTGGATGAAGCAGTTATTTACCTGTTGAAGAGAGCTTACTCCTGTCTGCATAGTAACAGCTGATTATGTAAATCTGAAATCGATCAATCAACACAAACAAGTTGTGTTTGTGAAGTCTTAACTTGCCTTTGTGACAGGGTCAAGCAACAATACAGAGCCTAACTGCAGTGTGCACGGCTTTTGATAGGAAAGAATAAGAAACACAGAATCATTTATAGCAGGGGTCCCCAATCTCAGTCCACGAGGGCCGGTGTCCCTGCAGGTTTTTGATCTCACCCTGGGTCAACACACCTGAATCACATGATTAGCTCATTACCAGGCCTCTGGAGAACTTCAAGACATGTTGAGAAGGTAATTTATCCATTTAAATCAGCTGTGATGGATCAAGGACACATCTAAAACTTGCAGGGACACCGGCCCTCGTGGACTGAGATTGGGGACCCCTGATTTATAGAAATGTTATCTACCCGCTGTGGTCACAGAGCACAATGAGAACATTCTGTCCAAAAGATCGCTTCTGCAGTCGACTATCTCTTGTGTTCAAATTATTTAATGTATTCCGTTACAGTTACCATTTAAAAATGTGGTATTTAGAATACAGTTACTTTGTTGAAATAAATGGATTACACGGCGGTACTTCCTTGTTTCATATTGTCACGGGCAAGGGCGTAGATTTGGCATGGATGGAAGGGACATGTCCCCACCAATATCCAGCGATTATTGAATTGTCCCCACCAATAATTTGATCTCTTCGAGTAAAGAAAAACAAAACCGATAGAAATAAAAAGCGATCTGTCAACGTCTCATTCACCCAGCGGTGCAGAAAGAGTTAAATTACGTTCTCTACCGGAGTCCTATATCATGTGACAAATATGGCCAATGTGATTGGCTGTGCCTTTCAGGGAGCTCTGTTTAGTTTTAGCAGCGGCAAGCCTGCGCTGTGAGGACCTGCAAGGAGGAGGAGGATGGCAGTAAAAAGAACCTGGATATAAGAAAGTATTTTTCAAAGAAACCTGTAAGTCACTTAAAGTCAAGTTCACTCATAAAATCTGTCCACCATAATAACGTTACAGGCTATGCAAGGCAATACATGCCCCTCTTATTACTCTTTCTGGGTTGCAAAATAAACTTTTAAAAATTTCTGTGCAAACTTCAAATATCTGAACCGGGGAGAACAGCAAACTCCCGGCACATTGTTTTAGGCTTTGCCCACATCAGTCTAAAATTGTATGTAACCATGAATAACGTGTTTGTAATGTCCTCTGCCTCTAACGCCTTGCTAGAGTCGACATTCAGACTAAAGTCCTCTTCAAATTGACCACGCAGACAAGAGGGTTTGACTTCACTCCCTTTACTTAGGCCAGTTGAAGTAGGGTAAAACTGAGAAATAACATAAAATGCTCTTAGAAATCATAGATGAGGACAAATACACAAAAACAGTACAAATGACTTGTGTAGCCAAAAGCGTTAGCGAATCCTCTCTTTACAAACATTTCTATTAAGTAAACACCGCAATCACATCTCTACAAGTAGATTTGTTCATTAGTAAGGATGGAACAGAATTACATACCGACAATGCCCTTAAAGACCATCTTAAGGGAGACAATTGCCACTACAGCAGAGAACAGGAGAAGTCTTTCCCCAAACAATAGCATGCACTTTCTGATGACATCATAGAACAGAGACAGATTTGTGCATGTTACACCAGGTCATGCCAGAAGGGGGCACTAAAGAGTAACTTTCTCAGGGAAAATCTATTTAAAACAAAACACGGTTACATGGCGACAGAACACTCCCTGTCTGAAACTCAGCAGGTTTCACCTACTAATATGACAAGGTCAAACACATTTCAGTCATCTGGAGGAATGAGCAAGATCATCTCATTCACGGGTCGGACGTAAAGCTTTGTTCCCTCTTTCTTAATGACCTTCACTTGCACTTTGCGCACCCTTCCGTCTTTACTGGGATACACATCAACGATAATACCTAAGGGCCAGTCAATCCTACTGCACTGACTGTCCTTAAGAAGCACCACACTCCCTTGCTTAAGGTTTGGCCGGTCAGAAGTCCACTTTGTTCGACACTGTAGTGTTGACAGATACTGTTTCCACCACCTGTCCCAAAATGTGTTAGACAAGCTTTGGACCCTGCGCCACTGTTGCTTCAATAGGTCTTTATGTCCAAAATCTCCTTCTGGTACTGGGCATGGACCTACTTTCTGAGTAAGCAATGAAGCCGGTGTAAGAATGAAAGGATCTGTAGGATCATTTGACACAGGCACCAGTGGTCGACTGTTCACTATGGCTGAGACCTCAGCCATGAATGTTGTGAGTACCTCATGTGTGAGTTTGGAGGAGCCCATCTGAAGAAGCATCGAGTCCAGGATACGACGTGTGATGCCGATCATCCTTTCCCATGCTCCTCCCATATGAGAGGAATGTGGTGTGTTGAAGGTCCACGTACATCCGTGTTCTGACAGAAACCTCTCCATGGCTTTCCCATCACGATTTGAGGGAATCCCCATATCTTTGCAAGCTCTGGTGAAATTAGTGCCCTGGTCGGAGCGTATGTTTTTCACAGGCCCTCGAATGGCCATAAACCTTCTGAATGCGTTTATGAAACTGGAGGAATCCAATGACTCAATTACCTCAATGTGTATAGCTCTGACACACAGACAGGTAAAGAGGACAGC